AACAATAATGTACAGTATGTGGAAAATAATGTGTTTTTTTAACCTTAAACCGCATAAACACATTTCATTACACCAAATACACAAAATAAAATGTTCTTTTTAGAAACATCATATGACCCCTTTAACTCAACATGAACACATAATTGTGTTTCAAACATTTTTATAAGTAGGAATAGGCTACTGTTTATTGAAAATTTCTTTAAAAAAAAAACTTTTTTTATTATTTATTGTAAGTTTACAGTGTGTTGGAAGGCCCTCAGAGGTTGCATCCAAAGTCAGTGAAAAGGTCAGTGGCAGGACAATCTACATTTGTTTTTATGTTCCATTTAGATATTGATATTGGGTTTTCTTTTATATCGTCAGACAAAATTATATCTGAATTGATCATTGTGCTATTTTAGTAGTATATTTTAAAGCATTGTTTTTACTTAAGTTTTGTTCACATTTAGTCTTTTTTTCTGTTTCTGCTAAAGGAAGTTGAACCCTTAAAACCAGTGATTGGCAGCTCAGCAGGTAAAATAATCTAGGTGTTAGTCTGATTTAATATCTATCTATACATATACACACATATAACTATAGCAACCGTTTTGTAACATTTAGCATTTGCATGCACATGACTACGGTCTGCCTTGGTTTCCTTAAGGCTAATATTTCTTCTGAAAGGGTGAATGACTTTACCTGCTTTGTTCTGTAGATCCAGCAGCAAAAGAATCAGGGGAATGGAAACCAAAGTAAGTTTAAAAATGTGTTACTAGGTCACTATGATTTCACATTGGTTAAATGCTGACCTCTGAAGTGGACAATGAAGACTGGATTTTCAGATCAATGAGAGGTCTTTTGGATACAATATGCTTTTTGGATACATATACAATATGCTTTACTTAAATAAAAATAAAAAAAAAACCTCAGTGTCAAATGTATTAGGTGCTTTGTTTAATTTTGTGTAGGCAACAGAAACCAAAACCCAGTGGAAAGACAGAAGGACAGGGACCCTCTGTAAACTCTGAGACAAATATGAAACTCAAAACGCCAAGAACCATGAGGTAAAATCAGTGGAGACTTTTTATAACAGTGATTAACAAACATAAATTGCCCATGCAGCTCTCGGGTCAATGTAAAAGAATTGGGGTAAATTAAAGAAATAGTTCACCCGAAACTTAAAATTTGCTGAAAATGTACTCACCCTCAGGCCATCCAAGATTCAGATGAGTTTGATTCTTCATTGGAACGGTTTTGGAGAAATGTAGCATTCCAACTTGCTCATCAGTGGATCCTCTGCAGTGAATGGGTGCCATCAGAATGAGAGTCCAAACAGCTGATAAAAACATCACAATAATCCACAAGTAATCCACACCACTCCAGTCCATCAGTTAATGTCTTGTGAAGTGAAAAGCTGCATGTTTGTAAGAAACAAATCCATCTTTAAGATGTTTTCAACTTCAAACTGTTACTTCCAGCTAAATTACATGTCCATAATCCATAATATTGCTTTCTCCAGTGAAAGTAGTTTTGTCTGAATCAGGAAAGAAATATGCAGAGATCAAGCATTGTTTATAAACAAAACGTTCTAAGCAATATGTCTGTGGATTTTGATGGACAACAGGGGATGGGCTTTTTCACTAGAGAAAGCATTATTATGGATTATGGAATCATAATTTGGCCAGAAGTGATGATTTAAAATCATCTTAATGATGAATTTGTTTCTTACAAACATGCATATTTTCACTTCACAAGATGTTAACTGATGGACTGGAGTGGTGTGGATTACTGTTTTAATCAGCTGTTTGGACTCTCATTCTGACGGCACCCATTCACTACAGAGCATCCATTGGTGAGCAAGTGATGCAATGCTTCATTTCTCAAAATCTGGATGAGCTAAGGGGAAGGAATTATTTTTTGGGTGAACTATTCCCTTTAAACTTATTTACTTGAAGTAAGAATGTTTTATAATATTTTTATTGTACTGGTCCACTTCAATCATCATTTAGATGCTTTGGTTTTG